ACACAACCCCAGCCACTACTGTAGCTTCTGTTCTATGCGCCTTATAGTTTGTTGCGCCTATTGTTAGAAAAAAAAAATTAAATAGGCAATTCATTGAATGTGCGCCTTATAATCCGGTTCACCTTATAGTGCAGAAAATACGGTAACCTGCAGATGACAGGATTCTGTCTTCTTGTGGAAGTCGTTTTATGGAGTTTAAAGAGTAAAAAGGAATGGTGACAGTACTGTGGTGCTCCTGTATTATTGTCTACGTACTTGATTGGACAGATAAACCTTTAATCTAACAAAATGTATAAAACTTATAAAGGCCATTGTTGATGCCTCCACATGGATCTTCTGAAGTTTCTGTCAAAGTAAATCAGACTGAATTTTGTTAAATCAAAAAACACGATCTCCATAGTTCTTTCTGCCTTGTCCAAATGACAGAGGGTTTGTTGAAGCAGGTGCATGATGGTATCTTCAACTCAAACCTAATGGTAATTAAGATTCTACAGGGTTCCTGATAGCTGCTTGTTTGCTTGCTTTGGCAAACTTTCAAGAACATTCATGATGGGGATAGGTCTATAGTCACCAAGGACTTTTGGCTGTTTTCTTTGTTACTGGAACAAGGCAGGATTTCTTTCAAAACACCTGACCCAGGAACTGTCTCTTATAAAAGGGATTATACTCTGAGCAGAAAAAAAAAACAGATTGTGATTTGATTTCCAATTTCCTATACTCTATTGACTATGCAGTCATGCATCATGCTCGCTACACACCTCTTCTAGCTCCCATAAGTAAGCCACCTTCCCTGTCTATGCCTTACACTGGCAGCCCTTTGCAGGTATTCGTTTTAGGCAGTCTTTGCTGGCAATATGTGTCTTACACCTTTCGTATGCAATACTGTTCATTCTAGTGTAGTCTAGTACTGTTTTTTCTAGTCATGATTGCACAGGCACTTTCCATTTTTCCATCTTCGGCCTCACAGACAGCCTTTCGCAGGCATCACCAAGCTCAATCATCCCTCAACAGAGCACCGGTTTCTCACGCAGGCTTACTTATTAATCCCTGGGTAAGACTCCTAACTCTTGTCTTTCCCCACATCTACTGTAGTACTTTTGCACTAGACCTTTTGAGCTTGTTTTGGCTCAACTTTTGTCTCCCCAGTCCACAGAGTATTTTCGAAATATAACTTTATTGATCTCACAATGGAGAAATGAACTCTCTGCATTTCACCCATCCCCTTGAGGAGCAGTGGGCTGCCTCTGCAGTGCCCGGGGAGCAGTATAGAGTTAAGGGTCTTGCTCAGAGACCCAGAGTGCTGGCTGTGAGGGTCAAACCGGGTACTTACAACCTAATCAGAGCACAAGCCCACTGCTTTAACCACCAGGGTAACACTCCCCGTTTGATTGGTTTGAAGATTATCAAGTTGCTTTCTGCAAAAATGGAGATAAGCATTAATGTTCTTTTTGCTCAGCAGTGGTTTTTATCTTGGAATTCTGTCATGCTGGCCAATTGCAATAAAATATTTGGATGTTTTATTTCTTTTATTTCTTTTTTTTTATCCAAGTTCAGTTAAATTTGTAAATTTTGAAAAGGTTTCATATTTTAAATATTCTATCAATTGCAATGGGTCAATGACCTTTACAGCAGTTAGACCACCTCAACGAGTGTGTGACTAAAGTGAATAGTAGATTACATCATGTTGTTAACATCTAAGTAGCCTTCATAATGAGCATGTATGTAGGGACTGAGATGCTGAGAAGACAAAGCAGACAAAGAAACAAAAAAAAAAAAAACACACACATATATATAAATATTGCACAACAATTGGCCAAAATAGGAGCTAAAGGTGCATAGACTTTTGGATTATACCATTTAGGGACTAAGAAATGTTTGAAAATCAATTTAAACTGGAGGAAAAAAATACATAGAAGCATTTTAAATGTGAAACAAATAATATTAAGCATTTGAAAAAAATATATATATATTAAAGGTGTCATAGAATGATTATATAGGGTATTTGGTGCTGATCCTTAAGGTGTCAATAGGTTGTGTAACATTGTTTGGGCTGAAAATGGCATATTTGCTGTTCTATGAGCCCTAATGCAAGCCTGGTTAAAAGCCCTAAAATGAATTGACCGGTTTTCTTACTTTTATGGTATGTTCATCAATATTTAGATGAGTTGTGCGCTTATTGGTTGGTTTACAATGAGCAAAGCTGCTGTGCAAAGACAAATCATAGCAACAAGCACTCATTCACTGAAACATTGAAATTGTTGATATGGTAAATTTTCAAAATCGTCCGGGATTTTGGTCGACTACAATGCAGCACGTAGTCGAAACACACTGGGGACTCGATTCGAGCCGTCAGTTCCAGGGCTGGTCTGGGAACCCTGGGGGATGGGGGCAGGGAGCCAGCAGGGGACAAAGCGACAGAACGCGACCTGGGAATGGTAACCTGGACACCGGCGTCCCCGTTCTTCCCCCCACCTGCCTTGACGGCCCCCCTCCAATGGTTAATGACGGGCAATTCATGGCTCTCTGAGGTCCGGTCCAGCCAGCAGCCCAGCAGTCGACAATTCAGTCTTTCTCCTTGCAGCCTGGAACACTGCATTTGCACCTTTTCTGGCTAATTTACGATAGAGAAACTGCCTTTGTAATCCTTGTAGAAGTTAATCCAACTGTAGGATAAATAGCTAAGCTAGTGTCGTTATGTTTTCACGACCTCGACTCATGTTCTTGGGCCAGTGAACCAGTGGGCTTTTCTGTATGTACATTTCAGGGCGTGACAAAAGTACAGGCCAGAACCAAATAAGACACCATCCCTGAGTTCAAGTCACTCAGGGCTTCATTTGGATTTGCCCGTTTTATGGTGGAATTTTATAATTGTAAGATTTGTGGAGAAAGAAGGTGTTGATGGGGTTTGAACTTGTCTGTACATCGATTTCACCCACTGAACTATCGTTATTTATCTATGACAATGTAAACTTTGTTTTGCATTCTACGACCCCTTTAACAATGAGGACCCCAGAGCATGTTATTGTCGTTTTTGCAGGAAAATTCCTCTCAGATTAGGCAGAGAACATGTACAAAAAAATCCTTAACCTCCACAACCCGGAACCATGCCAACCAGTTGGAGGTCATAAAGATTGCAGCTTGAGGCATGGAATAATACATTAGATGAAGGCTTTCGCTTGACCAATACAAAACACAGCTTGGGATTTTAAAAAATTTAACCATGAGAAATCCTTGAATGAAACAGACAAATAAGGACCTCTCTGTTTTTTGTGCAACTTTACTGCAGTAATAAACATTAGTGAGGCATGGTCTAACCAACAAATTAACATGTAAAGCTTTTTGGACTACTGGTAGAAGCTTCAATACATGTAGACAACCCATATATTGTCGGGAAAAACATTTAAATTCAATGCAGCAACACCCAGGAAGTAAACATAGGACTTTCCCTTGAGAGGCCATAGTGCAAACTATGCAACAGTGCAGTTCCTTCACAAACCCTGAACACAAAAAGGAATAGATTGAAGTTTAAATATTTCTTTTGTTTTTTTGTCACTGTTGTTATCAAAACTAGTCCGTAATTTGATTGTAAAATATATTTGTATTTTACATTAGATATAACTTCACATGTTGTAGACATATATATACCCCCTTCTAAAATTATATGGACAGTTAGATAAATACCAAATATAATATTTCTCTCTGTTATATGTATATTGGGCAATATAGATAAAAGTCACACTTTATTTTCTGTTGCCAATAACCAATGTTAGCAAAAAATACAAAGGAGAAAGAATGATTTTGAACCTCTCCAAAAAAAAAAACACCATGCCATTTGAGGAAAATATTTAAAGGATATCTTACCCACTTCTCTTCTATAGCAGTGCCTTGGTATACCCCAGAGAAGAAGCTACAGTACTGGCTGTCATCATAAAAGAAGTTTACTGTTCATGACTAGTTACCTGTAAGGAAAGGTTTTTTTTTTATATATAGTTTTTAGTATTATATGAACATGCTTAAAATGGAAGGCACAGAGACTCTATTTTTTTTTAAAGATGTTTAAACAGCTATCTAGGCATTTGTTAATTCTGTAGGCTTGCACCAGAGCAATCATCTAGCTGAGTGCTACACCTCAAGAACAAAGGACACACCTTTGAAGACAGGTGTTCAGATTTTGGACAGAGAGAAGAGGTGGTTTGCAAGAGGGGTCAAGAAATCCATTTTTATGAAAAGAGGAAAAGTTACCATTGACAAGGACTCTGCTTTCAAATCCCAAGCATTTACAATTCAATCATGGACCTCATCCAAAAAAGTTTACATAAGCACTACCACTATAATTCAAAAGACCAATCACATAACCTATGCGCAACAAAAGGCTCCAACAATCCAGAAGAACAAGGGGTGGCTATCTGATTTGTATATGACTTGCAATGTGTGTAGGAAGATGGAGCTCCATGCTGCTTAAATGCACTAGCATTCCAACCAGAGATTGCTCTGGTGCGAGAGAAAAGAACTGACAAAGACTCCTGGACAGGTGATGAAAGGCCTTCAAAAAAGAGTCTGGTTGCCTTTCAATTTAAGCTTGTTTGTGAGAACTGGTTTTAAATTTTGACAGCAACTTGAATATAAGAGGAAAAATGTATGTTCTACTTTTCTGAAATAATAAGTTTCACTTAATATTAAAACATTTTCAATATGTAACTTTATTGTGAAACATAAACGGAAACCTCATGATCCTTAAAATACAGTTCTGAAACACTTTTAATCAGGCTTTTGAGCTATTAAGTAATAAAAAACAGCTAAGAAATTTCAAATGAGAAAAAAGTAAAATAAAAGTTAGATAATTACATACTCATAAAATCAGATTTATAATATATAACTAAATAATAATTATAATGTATATGTTATTTATTATAGTAGTTCATAAATGGATTATGTATACTCATAAAAATAAGATTTATAACATATACATGAATAATAACTATAATGTATATACTATTTATTATAGTAGTTTATGGATTAAAAAAACTACTCAGATTTAAAACTGGTTGTTTTTTGCCATTTAACAAGGTTTAAAATTTCTGTATCATAACCAGAATTAAAATATCCTCTATAAGATTACATCTAGTTTTTTTTGACATTTTTCTTATTCCTGTTTCCTACTGGATTAAAAAAAGTCAAGGTCCAAATGTGACACTTAACCCATGATTAATTAGAAAGGTGCAAGTTCAGAAACTCCATAAACTTGTACCTGTTCTTTTATTTAAGCATTAGAGCAGGGGTCTTAAACTTGAATCCTCTAGGACAGGCGTCCTATGACTTTTAGATGTGTGTCTGCCTCAACACACCTGACTCCAATATGAACTCATTAGCAGGGCTTGACTACTAGTATGGTAGTTAAGATATATGATTCAGGTGTGAAGAGCAAAGGAAACATGTAGGCTACATTTACACTGCAGGCCTTAATGCTCAATTCTGATTTTTTTGTAAAATCCTATTATTTTGCGTGGTTGTTCACATTTCTAAATACATAATATGTGACCTGATGTGATCTCCAGCGTGAACTGCTTTAACACAAGTGTTCCACATGCTCAGTAGATTATGCAAAGACGTCAGAAGTGAGCATTCTATGTGTTTACGGAAGTAAACATAGATGGCAGTGCTGGAGCGCATTTTGCAATCTTTCATTTCTTTCCCGACTTAAGCCAGTGCATAAATAATAAAATCTTATCAAGAGTGTTGAAAATAAAGACTGCTCTCCGCATTATCGTCCTCCATGATTGTAATATAATCACGTTAAGGTTGGATCAATGCAACCTGGCTGATCTGTGTTGTTCAGGCTGTCATTACAAGATCAGATACAGGTTGCATGTGGGCAAAAAAGTTGGATTTGGGGCACTTCAGGCTGCTGTGTAAAAGTAGCCCAAATGTTTAAGAATTTGACTTTGTGAGTGCTGCATTAGAGGAATGACTGGATGATTGACATAAAAAGAAGACATGCACAGCATTGCTTTATGTGTGATAAAACATATTGCATCTGACTTTAGGTGAAGTGTTTACATATGCAGTGTGTACTCATCAGTGTAGAACACTGTGCATTAACCTGAACAACTTAAAATGGCATTAGTGCCACTTCTAGAGAACTCAAGCCATTTTCTTAAAATATTTCAAATGCACAGATTTTTCTTTTGCTTTTCAAAACAAAAGAAAGGGTAAGTTTGTCTTAATATTCATATTTGGATTTCTCACAGATGTCTTTCTGTATGCCTGGTGCAACCAGCATAGATTCACCTCCTCACATCTTGGAAAGTCAGTATCAAACAGGCATACAATATCTATTTTCTTTGCTACTTAGTATAAGAAACAGTGTAGCTTTGTAAAACACACGGCAAAAAACAATGTTAAAACAAAAAAATGCAATGATCAACTAAATTTTGACATGAAATAGATACAATTCAAGAATGACCAGACATGACATGCAATATACATGGTAATGAAGATGATCATCATACAGAAGAAATCCCAAATATTTTTGATATTTTAATTTTTAGATCAGATAAAGCTAGTGTAGCAAAGTAGAAATATATTAAATATGAGAAGCATCTAACACAGGGTGAACTAAGTTTCCATTATGATGTGTATTTTTTTTATTTATTTATCGGCAGATGAGTTTTTATATAGAAGGATGTGAGCATTGCTTGAATTTAATAAGTAAATGAGATTGTCAAATTTGATTAAAAATGTAAGAGAAAACACAATCCTAATATTGATAACATTTATAACTCAATTAACACGCCTCATTAGGCAGACACTGACATGTATGCAAAATTCATAACTGACACTGGATAGAAATAAATCAGGAGGCTGGCTTAAAAATGTCTTATTTTTTTTAAACACTAATATTCTCTCTATAAATCAAATTCTGGTTTTCCTAGTATGTATTTCTCTCTGCTTTGTTAAAAAAGAGGGTCTACTGTAAGGTCTATGGTCATGGCAGCAGAGTTTGTTTTAATGTAATGTGTGTCAGAGGGTGTGTATTTTGAGTTTTTGCAATAAAAAGGTAAGGGCTCCAATCCAGATGGCTTGGGTCATGTGTGTATTCCCTATTGGTGGGGAAATCAGGTTCAGGATCATAAATCATCCTCTCTGCGTCTCATAAATAGGAATATAATCATACTTTATTACTTATTGTCCATGACCCTTAGGACGGCAGAACAAACAAAAACAACAACAAAAAAATAAATAAAAATCAAAAACATTGAATAGGTTAGACTATAACATCACATTAGTGAAATAAAACCCAAAGGTACAACAGAGTATTATAAACATTGTGCTTCTTTAATTTCAATTACTACAGGCCTCCATTGTCTTTGTAGTCTTCCACTTTAAATTTAGTAATATTATATATATAGATATATATTTATATGTATAGAGAGAGATAAATGTACACGTATAATCCGCACTGAGGTTCGTCTCTTGTGGCAATCAGAGAGGCTACCGGGGGCACCCTGCCTTCATCAACCTCTGCTTTGCGTCCTTTTTCAGAAGAAATTAATTTCCTTTCTTCATTGATGCAGTTCTTCATCTTTCCAAGTATCCCAAAAAATGATTCCCAAGGAATTCAGTCTTTGTGAAGTTCTTTTTCTTCCCAGTTTCATCTTCTACCATTTTCCTTCTTACTTTTCTTTTGGAATCCCAGCTCTCTCATTTTATTCCCTCCTATTCTTTGTCATCTTTGGTAGCGTGTCCGACACTTTGATGTGTGCGGGAGCAAGTTGCCAAGGGTTGTGATAGGGAATTGCCGCGTACAAAGAGTATGCACATGAACAACCAATAAGGTTAATGACGCAGAGAAAGAGGCGCAAAAGTGACAATAACATGAATATGGTGTTCCTATTATAGTGTTTAAGGTGAAAGTTTTACTCTTTTTATAAGTATGTCAACTTTTAATATAGGCTGGGAGTCAATTGATTACACTCTGTCCCGAAATGCTGCAACAGTCAAAGAAAATGGAGGACAAAAGGCTGAAATCTTTTTGTTATCAGCAACAGAGGAATGATATTGATATAAGGCAGGACAGATATGACAGCGAATGAGGAAAGACAAGTGACGGCTCATGTACTGGGCAAAGAGGAAGATAAAGAGGGGATTAAAAAAGCGCGAGTTGGGGCGTTGATGTTCTAAGTGCTCATCATCTGTAGAGGAGTAAGAGGAAACAGGAAAGGCCAAAGGTCAGCCACCTGGCCAGTGGCAGCGAGTGTGAAGCTCCAATAAGAACTAGAGAAAAAGAAAAACAGAAAAAAAACAACATATCAGTTTATGCAGAGGCAATACATTTAAACTTGACTTTTGATCAGCTTTTAAATTATAGGGCATATGGAAAAAATCCCTTGGAGGTGCTTAATTTAACCTTAAGTGATTTATGCAACTTATTTTGAAACTAGACAGGTGTGCATAACTCGTTTTAAGCTAGCTTCACCAAGCAGAGACTCTTTTTTGTACAGCTTGCAGAAATGTTAAAGAGGTAAGGTAAGGCAAGGCAAGGTAAGGTAGGGTTAAGGTAAGGGATGCCTTTATTCTTTCACGGTGGGGTAATTCAGATTTAAGGGTGTTAAAAGCAAGTAGACATACAAATTACACATTTAAAATAACAAAAAGGGAGCCACCAAAGTAAACATTAAAGCATTAGAGGAAAAGAAACAAAATTCAGAGAGGTAAAAAAAACAGCATTCTTAATTTAAAAAGAATTTAGCTAAATAATTAGAAATGTTTAAGCAGCCTGTTAACAGAGGAATGCAGAAGGTCTGTGCAACCAAAAGGATTTTAGAGAAAACAATTTTAGCGGGAATATAAAACTGTGTAAATAGCCATTAACATTTGTAGTCATGAATATTTGTGTTCCTTAATATCTATAGGACACATATCAAGTAGATTAGTTGCAGTGCAAATCATTCTTGCTCAGATCAAAAACCCTTAGATATAGTTGCAGGATTTTAAATCCTTATTGGGCCTTTTGGGAACACTAAGATTGTTGAGTCTGATAGTAGCTGAAAGAAAGGAACTGTGAAAGCAATGCTTTATGCATTTATTGATATTATGTATTTAAGTTAAAGCAGGAGCCAAGTGCTTGGCGTTCTAAAAGACTGGATCTTTTATTTTACAGACTTTGTGGAATAACACCATCCAATGAAAGGTGGTACAATTGTGAAACCTGGGAGAAACAGAGGAAAAGGGACATACCATGCTTCTGGATTTACAAACTGATTAGAACTTTTTTTTTTTAATATAACACATATTCAATTAATTTTTTTCAAAATTCCCTTGTGGCCTTTCAATACACCATGTAAACCTTTAATCGTGGAAGATTCCAAATGTGATGGAACTTTATAGAATATAGGAAACATAAGAAGACATTCTAAATAAATTTGAATTGCATTATACAACTAAGTGGCAGTGTAGAGTTTTTGCGCTCACAAGGTTCAACATATTTGTACTACTAATACAATGCATTAATTGAAAACAAGCTTTTTTAATATTACAAGTTCATACTCTTTTTCTACAGGTTACATGTAGTAATTTTGAATATATTTGACTTTATTTATTTCTTGAATTCAAACTCATTATCTGAGGATGCATCATTCAACATATTTTATCCTGCAGTATCTATTAAATTAGAAATACCATTCTGATGTATTTTATCCTGTCACATGTTAGTTTTTAAACTTTATCAGACCAGGACCCAATGTATATACCAAAAAATTAGAAGAGGGAGACAAACGTGTATCATTCATTGAATGTAGAGCATTTGTTATTAAGCGATTAATAATATAAACTGATGCAGAAAGTGCTTTCATGTAATGAACTGGATAGAAGTGTTTGCCCATGCACTCTGCTTTTTAAATCACTTGCTTTTTAGTGCAGTCTGTTTTGTGAATCTGGGGTAGAATAAGAGAAAATTTGGGGCAAAGCAGAAAATTGCAGGTTTCATAAAATCCATATATGGGAAAGGAAAAATGTGTTCAGATTCAGGATCAACTACTTTCCTTTTACAGTGATGAATAGTCTTACTCTGTTTTTATAGTTTTTACTACACTGTAACCAGCCATATACTTTTCTACTACAACACAGCACAGACTGAGATTCATAAAGAAACTGAAAATGTTACCCACTTCAACTTAGCTTTATGGATAAAAAGTTAGTAGTGTATTCAGAAATCAATATGATTTCATAACAACTGTCCATTCCCCAGGCACAAAATCAATATCTATAGTAAAGCTTTTATATGCAGCACACTGCATTTCTGTAGCACAAAATGTAGACGATAAATTGAAAAATAATACAATATGCTGTTAAGTTTAATGGCTTATTTGCATCTTTTAACCATTTAGTCTTGTAGTGTTTTTCGGGGCCACACCTTATGGTATCAAAATATGTGAAGTCTTTATTTTTTATTTTCTGGTCTGTTTTTACTAGACTTCCTTTCCAAGCTCCTTTCAAGTTATTTGTTAACCCCTTTCATTTTTCTTAAAAGCCCTTGCTGTTTAAAGTCTATGCTTGTCAGTTGCCCTTTTGTCCAGTCCTTGTTATTGTCTTTGGTTTAATGTCTGCTGGCTGTTGAAAGGTTTGGTTTGTCTTTTTTCAGTATGAATATTCAGATTTCCAGCACAAACTCATTCAGATTCTTTGCCCATAGCACTGCTTGGCCAGGTGGACAGCTGGTGGAGCTTAGGTGGAAAGCCATGTTTATGTCGCTTTTCAGTTTTTCCATACTCTCTCTGTGTTCAGAAATTATATCAAACAGAGCTATATGAGATATTCACAGGTTCTGATATTGATTTATAAACTTATCCTCGTCCACATTTCTCAACATCCTTAACTGTGCACTGTTTCCTTATTTCATAATACTATTGGTTTAGTTGTTTTCCCTCACAAACCTCTAAGACCTTTACATCACAGCTGGATTTATACCAGTTCATTTGTACATTTACTGCTCTAGTTACTAATAAGGTAAATTTGAAGGCAATTACTTGCACTGGATTTTATTTGGGGATACCATATCATAGCTGTCTACAATTAATAATGTTTTGAAATCCAAGTTCGATTTTTTATGTTACTTCACGATTCTGCACAAATTTGTGTTGCTTTACAATTAGTAGTTGTAAAACCTTACGTCATATAAACATTTAGCAAGGGAGTAACTTTTTAAAGGGACTTTGACAGCGTTTAACTCAATGTTGGGGGCTGTTCCTGCCAACAGCATTTGTGGCAGGTTTATCAACATACATGTTTCTAAATATAAATGATCAAGGACAAATCATTTTGACAAGTGAGTTATGTTGCATTGCTAGCACAGGTATTTTTTTAAATTCAGATTTGAATCATGAAATACAGCTTATGACCGAATTACTGGGCAAAAAAATAAAACAGAATGTTTTATATAAAAATGAAACAGAGTAACAACAAAGCTACCAATATTAAAAAGAGAAGAAAAATGTAATAATAAACAACGTCAATGTCTTTACTACTTCACTTTGCATGTTAGGCAAATTTGTGGGGGGGGGGTTAAAAAGTATTTATATTCTAAGAGATCACTGCAATTAAAGGGAAAAATTTATTTTAGGTGGTTAAAAATTGTCTAAATCCCCTTTGTTTTTAAGAATCTAGAAAAAACCCTGTCTTGCGAGAGAGAGAAATTTTAAAAGAGGAACTAAATCATCTTTTACCAGCTCATTTTCTCAGGGAACATGCAGACGAACCAGGTGGAGCTCTGTGATTTGTGCAGGCGGAGTTGGACTAAATAAGTCAGAAGCAATGATTGTTCATTTATCACAAGGCTTCCTTACGTAAGTTCTCTGTTAAACTGGCATAAATGTCAGGTGCAATGTAGGCTGCATAGATACAGCACAAATAGATTGTGAAACTTTTTTTTTCTTTCACGATTAGGTTGTATTGTCTTTCTACAATACTAAACCAAAGATGAATATTTAATTATTTGGGTTTGGGTAAATTATTAAAACATGGTTGAGCAAAGAGGTCAATCACTGTGCCTGACACTCAGCATAACAATCTGAGTGGTATCTTTCTAAAATATTAAATGGCACTTGCAGGTAAATATGTTTAGAATTTTCTGTGGTTTGTCTGGGAGACAGCTCGGTTTTCCAAAATGGGGGATACAGCTAAGCTCAGTTCTCACAGAAAGGGGATTATGTATTGAGAAACAAATAAAATCAGAATTTTGTACTTTTAATGCTTACTTTATGAGATGCACCTTGCATTCATTACAGTATGTTATCAACTTTAAATAAAATAGATGACATAAATAAACATACCTTGCAGAGTCCATGAAGGCAAAATCTCAACACAAGTGCTAATGCATCTTGCAATGGCAAAGACCTTCGTGTTGCCTGCTTAATAATTACCCATCTGTTTGTGCTGTGAGTCTCAAATAACCCGTAGGACACAAATGCACAGGCGCACTCTTCAAGAGCTCTAGAGCTTTCCTCTTCCTGTTTATGCCATCATCTATTATTTACACGAACCACCAGTGTTGATACATGCACATATGTGTTACATTGCATCAAGCACACGCTCATGTATGCATCTCACTCAGAACGCTTGGAAAGGTTTTAAAACAGACGTCATTAATCATTCATGGAGGTGCATCTTTTTTGCTGTTGTGAGTGATTTCATGGCTCTGATATCTTTTTTTCATCATAAATCCTAAAAGTTAACAAAGCCCTGTAGACTTAAACCACATGTTGCTGAATAAAATCAAGCTTGTGCTTCTTTCATGAGATCCTAATCTGTTTGTAACATATTTAGCTTCTTATTCTATTAGACTTTAGATTTAATTAGTAAAACACAATTAAAGACATAACACTAAAAGCAGCTACCGTATGCACTATATATGCTAGTCAGCTAATGTGCACAAGCATTTTTTGTGAAAGTCGTCAATTGTCTTTGATTAGTTCTAACAAAAGGCTATTTCTTCACTTTTTACTAATTTTTTTGTTTTTTGTTAGAGTTTTAAATGCATGCATCAACATATTTTGGCCACTTTGTGTCGTTGACCTTTTTTGTCTGAACCTTGAGGCATCTTGTGTTTATTTGACTGAAAGTGCTTTAGTAAAAGTTCATTTTTAGTCTTATATCCTCGAAGTATCAGTGTTTTACATAATTCTTGTGTCCCTTTTTAGGAGTTTAAGTTAATCAAAATGACTTTTTTCCTTTTGTGAACATTTTTGTTGGACTGAAGAAGTCTTGCTTTCACATGTTTAAATTTACAGATGGACTTATTTGCTCAACCTCTCCCTCTGTCATGTCCAATTTCCTCCAGCCCTGTCTTGGGCATTTTCACTGCTTGATCTTGAAAAATATTCTAGGCAGGACTTTTGTATCATAGCGTATCAGAGAACAGTTTTGTGATTATCCAAGTTCTGGATTAGGTTGTTGAGTAAGAAAAGCAGAGATGATTTCTCCCCTTCGTTTATGAGTGGTATTCTGAAAAATGATCTGTCGCCATGGTGGTGAGAAAATATGCACCATTGTATGATAGGTCTTCCAAGTAATGTTAAGCATTTTGCTCTCCTTTTCTTAATCAATCTAAAAAAAAAACGCCTCTGGCTTTTTGTTGCTACTAAGTGTCTTTTTGTGGGTGTGACATAACCTACAATGGATGGGACTTTCCTCTCATGCTGACCCACCTTAAATCTATCATCCACTTCTGGATCTAATGTAGTTTGCGTACAGAGCCATCCTGGATGCATCCAGCAACACCACAATTCCCCAGGAATACTGTACAGTCTGTCAGGTTCCTATTTTTGGAATTCAGGTAGGATCTACAATTTGCGATGTTTAGAAGAAGCCAAATTGGAAGCTTAACGTCACCTCCCTCACAGAGAAGGCCCAGTAGATGATATGACAAACTGCCCACTAGTCCCCTTGTAGTGGCCTGGAGCACTTTCCTTTTGACAGGCAGAAATGCAGCTCTTCTTATTTTGCAATACGTTTTGCTACTTGCTGCATTTTCTCTCAAGGTGTTTCATGTTTTAGCATAATTTATGAATTTGCAGTAGGTTTACTGTTTCTCTCATTTTTGTGTTTGCATACCCTTTTGATTTTGATGTGAAATCATGCCTTTGCATCCCTCAGCTATCATACTTGTAAACCACTATAACTAAAGGTAAAACGAAGGAAGTACAAAAAGTGTCTGTTTATACTGAAGAAATCAGTACCTATTTTGTGTTTCTATCCTTAAATAAGGGGGAAAAAGACTACAAAGACATTTTATTTCATTAAGGGTGGAATGAATGTCCTATTTTTATGTCAGATGGTTGGAAAAGCAGTGTTTAGCATGTTTTCGAAGCATCTCTGTTCACAAGCACACAAGCACCAAGCATACCCCATCAGCCACATCTTACCTGTCTTACCTGCGTTGGCTACAGTGTTCTCCTGCTTGCATTTCCCTATGGTGATGGACACATCATCAATGGCGATATCTCCTTCAAAGCCTGCACCTCGGATTCCTTCAAACACAATCTGTTTCAGGGAGATACGAAAAAAGAGACAAGCAGATGATGAGTGAGTGAATTCAGTCCAAAGGTTTACACAGCCAGAGCCATTTTGGAAAAGAACTTACCCTAAAACTTGCCTTAAAGGAACTACATTATAGAAAATATATATAAATATGTATAAAATAATGGACTGATATACCTAGCTTTTCTCTTATTTAGCTTCCAGGCAAACTTTTAGGTTTTTTTAAAGGAATAGTACACCCAAAACATGATTAGCCTTCATTTTCTACTCACCCCCATGCTGAACAACACTCTGGAATACTTTTTTGATATC